TGATATTTTATAAATAAAATTGTACAGGAAATAATTCAAAAAATTAGTAAATAATACGAGTAATTGTTTGTTTTAATATTCAACTTAACCAACTTATTCATTCAATGTAAGTAATAATAATAATTGTAATAATAATAATAATAAGGTATTATTTGCGTGTATTTTAGCATAAAACAACACAGCCACACAAAAAAAAATTTGTTTCTGACCTGGAGGTTTCACTATGTGTACCTTATGTTTTTGGGGTCGCTGAATCCGAATCCGAGGCCCATTTAACCCCATCAGATCAGGGTTTTGACATAACCCCAAAAAACCAATATGGCAAACACTTTTTTAAAAAATCATCGGATTCGCTTAAAACTAGTTACTCGGGGGTTTTTGGTGTCGCTGATCACGAATTTGAAGTCAGTTTTTGAAAATTCAAAATGGCGGATCCAATATGGCGGACGACTTTTTAAAAATTTCATCGGATTCGCTTAAAACTCGCTACTCGGGTGTTTTTGGTGTTGCTGATTACGAATTTGAAGCCATTTTTCAAAAATTCAAAATGGCGGATCCAATATGGCGGACACCTTTTAGAAAAATTCATCGAATTTGCTTAAAACTCGTTAATCAGGGGTTTTAGGGGTCGCTGATTACGAATTTAAAGTCGGCTTTTAAAAATTTAAAAAGAGGTATCCAATATGGCGGAAGCTTTTTTGAAAAATTTATCACATTCGCTTGAAATTTGTTAGTCGAGGATTTTTAGGTCCGCTGGTTCCTTATAAGAGGACTATTTAAGCCCATCAGTTTAGGATTTTTTTCCAACTAAGACAAATTTTAAATCATTGTACCGTCGGCATTGGCATTACCCGATGTACACCGCGGAGTGGTTGCTTGATCGGATTTTGTACATCATGTATAGTCCTTAAAAGAGCTGATTGATAAAAATAATGCTGCTCATAAGGCGCATAATCTTTTAATGGTTCTCTTTTTTCGAGCTATAACGAGTTATTTTTTCTTCAAAAGATCTGTGTAATGGATTTCTTTTGCGCTTGTTGTTTTGTCCAAGTAATTCTCTTTTTAGCATCCAGCAAAAATCTGCCAACATATTGACATCCCACACTCCCTGATAGCGAGTTTCAACAACTTTAATGTCTTGGTGGAAACGTTTACCTTGTTCTTCACTGAAATGTCCCACGTTTTCAGGAAATTTGTCCAGATGAGAGTGCAAGAAATGCAGCTTCAAACTCATCAAGTATTCTAGTTTCTTATAGTCATGTAACATCTTAGCCACAATATCTTTATATTGTGGACTTTTTCGAATTCCTAAGAAGTTTTCTGCAACCTCTCGAAAACTCAATCAAGCTGATTTCTCCTGATCATTCATTTGACTAATAAAGACATTATCCTTTAACATTTTTTGAATTTGAGGATCGTCAAATGTACCTTTTTTAATTTTGGCCTCAGAAATTTTAGGAAAAATCGTCTGCAAGTATTCGAAACATTTTCCAGTCTTATCTAGAGATACATATTTTTCTTTAGTGTACACTGAAGACTTCATGCAGCAGAATGCGATCGAGTACATTATACCTATATCAGAAGTGAGTTTAAGACAAATCGCTAAAATATTTTTGACTGATATTTAAAATTCTTTTCACAACCATTTTGAATTTTTAAAAACTTACTTCAAATTCGTAATCAGCGACACCAAAAACCACCGAGTAGCGAATATTAATCGACTCCGATAAATTTTTTAAAAAGTCGTCCGCCATATTGGATCCGCCATTTTGAATTTTCAAAAATTCAATTTTCAAATTCAATTTCAAAACAAGAATTACCCCATTTTGTGACACAAAATACTTTACAGTTTTTCAAAACAATAAATAAATCTTATGAGTTTTTAAAAAAAGAGCCTAGTGCATGGAATGAGGATACGAGCTATCTCGAAGCAAAGAATAAAATTGAAAAACGAAACGTGTTTTTAAGATAAAATGGCTCGTCGCGACCTTTAAATCGTTTTTAAAAAATCTGGTAAGATAGGTGGTACCTTTTTTCATAAAAAGGAAGAAAGTTTTTGGGCAGGGTTGAAAATTGAAAAAAAAAAATTTTTATGGGCACCCGAACATACATAAGGGTAGATCGAAAAAATCGATTTTTCGATTTCTAAATTCTAATACTGTGGAAAAGTTGCGTAACATGCTCATATTACACCGTGTTAAATTGATTTTTTATCCCACATGCACAAAAGCCGCGCTTTCTGATAGCAGTCGACAGGGAGGAAAGTCATTCATTTCTTCGATCGTATGAAAATGGCGGCCGTGTTCTCCCAAGGGCAAGAAAATTAGCTGTTCACATGCATTTTTCTTGCCCAAGGGAGAAGACGGCCGCCATTTTCATACAAATCGAACAAGTGAATGACTTTTACTCCCTGTCGTCTGCTAACTGAAATCGCCGCTTTTGTGCATTAGGAATAAATAATATCGTAAGTAACACGAGAATAAAGGCAGCCAATTTCTTTACGATGATTTTTGTGACACTCGTTCCGGTCTCGGGGCGCCTACGGCGCCCTCGACCTCCACTCGTGTCACAAAAATCACCGTAAAGAAATGGCTGCCTTTCTCCTCTTGTTGCTTAATATACTATTTGATCGGTTAATATTTACGGTTGCCCCAAGAGCCTTAAAGTTTTAGAAATCTCATAAGTTTTGGTTTTTTATACTTTTTTAAAATTTATAGATAGCTGTTTTTATTAAAGTTTTGAGTTATTTTAGGACACTAGAAACCACAGTGGGCTTTGAGGAAAATATATTGAAGTGTATTATTCACGTGCGTTCCCTGTACAGGGTTGTCCAAAAGTCCAAAAACCGTAACTTTTCGTTTAACCCTTTCAGTTCTATAATTAGGACAATTGAAAAATATCTCTAATAGGTATAGTAGCTATAGTTTTCGGGGTCGCTGATTACGAATCTGGAGTCAGATTTTTAAAATTCAAAATAGAGGATTCAATATGGTGTACGAAGAAATTAAAAGTTCAACAAATTCGCCTAGAATTAGTCACTGGGGGTTTTTGGGGTCGCTTATTTCAGATTCGCAATCAGCTCGGACTGTCTTCCGTAACCGAAATATCTACATCGAATGCAGTTTCCCAATTGGCCAGATCTAGTTCCAACAGCCGATTTCGAATTAGATATTTCGATTCGGAAAGACGGCCCGAGCGTATCTGTTGTTATTGCACGCTGCGGCTCATTTAGACTTTTGGCAACGAAACAGGGTCACCTAAACCATTGTGAATCCTAATTTTAAAAAAATTTCCGGAATTTTGTGTCCATGACTTTGAATTATTATTTACACATTCTTATTAAGAAATCATAAAAACACATAGAATGGTATTTACAGCAGAATTAAATAAGTTTAATAATTTTTATCTGACATATTGGATCCACTATTTTCAATTTTAACCCTCCGCTTATGCTAAATTATCCCCACTCTATCGCCAAAGAAAGTAACTCCCATAGCCCCCACCAGGCGTCCAGAATGACGATTTTTGACGATAACGGTCGTTAGCATCAGCAGATACTTATAAAGCAGACATCAAACTCGTAATCAGCGATCCCAAAAACCCCCGAGTAATGATTTTCAAGTGAATTAAATGAATTCTTAACATTGGCGTCGGCTATATTGTATCCGCCATTTTGAAAAACTAATATTGTATTCGTAATCAGCGACTCCGAAAACCCCCGGGTTACGAGTTTTAAGCAAATTCAATTAAATTGTGAGTTTTGGTCGCTTTTGCCTACTTTCTCGCCCACTGTGCAACATTAAAAAGTCTACATTAATTGACAAAGTTGTCAGCACTCTCGCCATCACGAAATTCGTTGATAATATATTGTGTAAAACTTTAACATTTTTCTTTAAAATATTTACTATAATTTCTAGAGATGACATCAACGATATATAAAGAGGGTGAAATTATAATTGATTGAATAGGTAAATTGTCTTAACTTGATGTCGAAAATGTCACAAAAATGAGAAATTATAATTTATCCAAGTATTATTTTTTATATTAATTTTCTCAAAAGTTTCAAAACTTTCATGAAAAGTTTTAAAACCTTAGTTATGTATAATTACTATCTTTAGAAAAATCATAAAATTTTTCTATCTGCTTTTTTATGATAGCACGAGGCGATAGTTTCAAGAGTCATATGAAAGCATTATATACGAAAAGAGTTTTTCACATTCGACCATTAACAGGAAAGTGGACTGCAAGATTATTATGGTAAGAAAACTTATTTTAATATTATTTCATATATTCTAATGCAAAAGTATATAACTATAAAATTAAAATATTTTAAACAAAACATTTATTAAGTTTTTAAAAAATACTTTTTTTATTTTTGATCAAATTTAAAACTCCGTTGCTTTTCACAATATAAATTTTTGAAGAAGGTATTATAATTGCATATATGGTATATAATTATGTTCTCTGCATAGCTACATCTATTAAGGATCATATGTTTTAAATAATTTCTAAAAAATGAGGTAAAATATGTCAATTTTAGTTTTCTAGAATTATATTTGTCTTGTGTGACATATTTTAATATTAAAAATATTTTCTAAATTTTCTTTCTTTTGAAAGCGCTACTGTTTTCAACTCTTAATTACTAATTTTCATGTTTTAATTTCTTATGTAGAAAAATATTCTTTCTAGGTTACATTAATTTTACATATTTGTTGTAAATCTGCCACGTCTAACATGACTCATTTTGTTGCCACGTATTGCGTGATGCTTGATGCCACGTAAGCATTACAGAAATGATAACATTTATCATTTTTATAGTGCTCGCCATCTTAAATATTTTTTAAACAGCTTTGTATCCTTTTGGTAGAAAATCATTACAGAAAAATATTGAATGTTAAAATGAGGTAGAAACCTACAATACAAAGTTTCACTAGAAATAAATTCCGTTGATAACTGTAAATTGTAATAAATACACGTTTTCCATATCAGCAAAGGTTCTATTTAGAATAAGAAAGTTATCTAATATTCAATGTCTCATGCACTTTTTTAAATAAATGTACTGAAGAAAAACAACCATTTTATATACACAAATTTGACCTTTTTTAAAAGTTAATTACTATTTTTAATGTTTAGTATAAATAATTGTTTTACAAATTTAATATTTAACTTTTTAAACACTTGTCTAGCAAATATTGTTACAGGAAGTAAAGATGCCTCAAGTTTGTTTGGTACGTCATCTTACTTATTTAATTATTGAAAATCTTTGGCCTTAAATATAATATGTCATTTTATTTTAAAATTTAACTTAACTACCCTAACAGTAAGTCGTAAATAAAAAATTTAATAATCACATTAACGAGTTACAGATTACATAAAAAACAATTGTCAAGGTAGGTTAGATTGAAATTTTTTATGAAATCTTATCTTCTTTCTGGAGCTAGTATAAAGTAATTATAAGCAAATAATTTTAAATATTCCAAAGGTTTAAAACGTCAAAACTAATGATTTAAAGAATAATATTTAAATAAATCATGTTAAACAAAAAGAAATATTAAATATTCATTCATGTAAAATTCCAAAGGATTGTTTTTCCGACTACACAGGACCACAAAATTTTTTTCGGGAAAATATACATTGATAGCACCATGTGTTCTATACGTATTTTGACGCGCTGAATCCAAATCTGGGTCTACTTTTGCCCCAACACGTCACAGTTTCGAGATAAATTAAAATTTCTCCAAAAAATAGATCAAAAATAAAAAAATATATATAGGGATACAAGTTTTTCTCATAATTTTCTTCATATTTGTCAGAAATTTCAGGTTTATTTGTAAGAATTAACCCTTCATTGTTCTCTAAATATGTATTTAATGTTACAAATAGTGCAAGTAAATAAATAAAATATATTCAATATATTAATGACTTACTTCACAGGTTTTAAATACTACGAGATCTGATATTACTATCAGTTCTAATTAAAGTTAAACATTTTGTTCATAGATACAAAAACTTCAAGTATATTTAATTACATAGTAACTTTATATAAATGGAAGTAACCATCTACTTAACGATTCTTTCCATTAATTTATTTAGTAATTTCTAGATATTATACACATTTACAGGTGTCAATTCTCACAAACAAACATGAAATTTTCAACAGATGTAAACAAAATTATCAGAAAATTTTGTCTCTTTATAAATGTTCGAAAATAATGGTAAAAATGTCTCTTTTTTGGAGAAATTTTAATTTATCTCGAAACTGTGATGTGTTGGGGCAAAAATAGACCCATATTTGGATTCAGCGCGTCAAAATACGTATAGAACACATGGTGCTATCAATGTATATTTTCCCGAAAAAAATTTTGTGGTCCTGTGCTATTAATGAAGATCTCTATTGGGCAACCTTTTCTAATCATTCGAAAATAAATTTTAAAATAATTATTTTTTTAATTTTCTTATAGGAGTTTATGTCTCTATAAATTTGTCAGATATGTGTATATAATATAATATTATTTAAGGTTGAAATTATTTATTCTAAAATTAGAAAATAATTTTCTTGATCGCAAGAGTTACAAAATCTTGTTGCAGATATAGAACCTACATTGTTTTCTCCAGGTGCAGTATAAAAGCTTTAAATATTGTTTTCTGTTATACATATTGAGGCTCTTTATACCGTAGAGAGCAAAGTATGGAAGGATAAAATTCCTCTTGAGAAACAGGAATAGTTAAATTTGCGCCTACGCTGCACTGTATTTCATTTTAACAATTCCTGTTTCTTGAGAAATAATTTACCCTTCCCTACTTTTTACCCTCTACGGTATGAATAATAATATTAATTACGTTAGTAAACACTTAACTTTACAATTCTACATTTATAAAAAATTACAACTATTCATTGCATATTATGCATGTTTGTAGTTCAGAAAAAAGATTCAGTTGTATCCAGATACTATTTTGACTTTTTTACTTGAGTTTAGACTATTTATACTTAAATATAAATTCTTCTTTTTAAATAATCTTAAAAGAAGGTCTGTCTGATAAAACCTGCATTACAAAATTTTACAATAAAGAATAATTTTCTTTACCCATCACAAAAATTTTCAATCTTGTTAGTGATACAAGATGATTGCGATGTAAATATAAATTACTTTCATAACTTTAAATTTTAAAAAATACAGATTTTTCATATCAGCAAAGGTTCCATTTTCTGGCTCTTCAGTAATAGTTAAAAAACAAATTATTAAGAAAGTTATCCAATATTCAATGTGTAATGCAGATTATTTTTAAAATAATTGTACTGAAGACTGACAACCATTTTATTGGCATAAATTTGTTCTCTTTTAAAGTTATTTACTATTTTTTATCTTCAGTGTAAACAATTTTTTTACAAAGGGCCTAGCGGAGTAAGCATGTAAAATCTGCCCCGCTCAAAAAAATTTGAATATACGTGTTTTATAAATTAATAAGAGGAATTTTAAAAAAATTTCAAAAAATTTATCCCACAAAAAACCAAATTTTTTTTTTGAATTTTCACAAAAAATTTTTTTGGTCTTAATTTGTAGATACTACTTTGGAATTTTTACAGAAAATTATTCAAAATGTGTACTTTGAAGAAATATTTTTGTTAAATTTTTTAAATGGGTACCACATATTGAAAAAAATTAAAATCCTAGATGGCGCATCATTCCGGCTGAAGCATAATGTATTTAGTAACTGATTATTTTTAAATTTGCTTGAAATTTAGTAATTATGTGTTTCTTGGGTCACTCATTACGGATGTAAAGTTAGATCTTTTAAATTTAAAATCAGCGACCCCAAAACCTCCGTGTGACAAGTTTAAAGCGAATACAATGAATTTTTCAAAAAGTCGTCCGCTATATTGGATCCGTTATTTTGAATTTTGAAAATCTAACATTACATTCGTAATGAGTGATCCCAGAAACACATAATTACAAAGTTTCAAGCAAATTGAAAAATAATCAGTTACTGGATACATTGTGCTTCAACCGGAATGATGCACCACCTAGGATTTTAATTTTTTTCACTATGTGGTACCCAATTAAAAAATTAACAAAAATATTTTTTAAAAGTATACATTTAGGAGAATTTTCTGTAAAAATTCTAAAGTAGTATCTTAACCATTTTAGTGGTTTTCCAGAAAAAACAAATTTTTTATTATCTTTTCCCCCTCCATAACTCTTACAAAAAAGCATTTTTTGAAAAAGTATTTGGTGAAAAATTTTATTTTAATGCTGCCAACATGTAACAAGAATTTCAAACTTTTTTAAGCGGGGGCAGATTTTGCATGCTTACTCCGCTAGGCTCTTTAATATTAACATTTTTAAACTTTTGTCCATCAGATATTGTTACAGGAAGTGAAGACGACTCAAATATATTTGGTGCGTAATGTAAATTATTCAATTTTAAAAATATAATTTTGAAGTTAAAAATTATACGTTTCTGCATTTTAATATTTAAATTCGATCTAAAATTGAATTTTCTGTAATCCTAACAGTAAATTTTTTTTAAATTTTAATATTCATGTTGCAGATTACATTAAGGAAATTTGTCAAGGTAACTTATATCAAAATTTTGTTATCTATGCTTATTTTGTTTCTCGTACTACTATAAAATAATTATAAGCAAATAATTTTAAACGTCCGAAGGTTTACTTTTCCGGTCACTATTGAAGATCTTTATTGTGTAACCTTTTCTAATAATTCAGAAAAATGTTTTTAAATAATTCTAATTTGGTTGCAGGAACTGAATCCACAATAAATTTGTCAGGTCTCTATACAGAATATGATTTTAGCTTTAAAATTATTTTTTCGAAAATTAGAAAACAGTTTTCTTGATAGCAATCGATAAAAAATCTTGTTGCAGACATAGAACCTACTATATTTTTAGCAGGTATTGTATAAAAGATAAATATTGTTTAATTTTATGTTACGTGAAAAGTAACTTACCTCTTAACATTTGTTATCCTCGTTTTAAATAAGAAATTCCGAAGAAATCTTATTTGGGAATGAGGAAAAAGAATCAATGAATAAAAGTTAAGAATTAGTTAAAATGAAATTTATTATAAAATAGTATATAATGATTTCTTGAAGTTCTTTATTTGTATGTTGCCGAGAGAAGACCAGTTCCAATAAACACCGTTAACAAATAAGCGTTTATTAGATATAGAAATTGTATCGAAAGAATATGATGAAAAGATTTAGTTAATTACCTTTATTGCTTCTTTGTGAAGCTGAAAACCCGTTCTCCGCTCGTGCGTCCACAGTCAGTTCAGATGCACCGCCTTTCCAATTTTTACTGCTTGGAGGTTTGACAATGGCTCGGTCACACACGAGATGGGTATTACTTAGACTGGGATAATCGTAGGTAACGAGTATAGATTCGCACTGACTACTGGTACAGAGATGATGTCGATCGGTTTGATTTAAATTAGATACTGACTGGATGCTGACTAGATACTGACTTTTGGATCCAAATTTAGGGCCTTATATACCCAGATCACATCCGTGTATCGACGTAATAGGGTTGTAAAAAGATTGCTCATCGATGGGTGTTTGTCAAGTTTGCTTGGTAACAGGTCTGGTCTAAGGTTACTTAGAGGTCACACACGTGGCATGTGACACCTCCCCTCTTAATTCAATCGCACAATTGAAAATTTGCGATTGAAGCTTCGGCAGAAGATTTGTCTAAAATTCTCGATATCGTAATACATAAGATTAACTTTCTTTTAAATCGTAGAATCGTAGAAAAAGAATTCCAAGAAAACATTATTCTAGTGTTCATTGTGAAGAACAAAATATTTTAGTAAATCGTAGTACAATATGTTTGTTTAACATTATTGAGTAAAATCGTTTTAACATTATTTGTTAATTGAAAAAGTTTTGAGTAAGTCATAGAAAAATTTTGTATAAATCGTAGAACAATTTTTGAAAAATTTTGTATAAAAGAAAAATTTTGTTTAAATCGTAGAACAATAATCGTAGAAAAAGAAAAAATTTTGTTTGAATCGTAGAAAAATTTTTGAAAACATTTTGTATTAAAAGAAAAATTTTGTTTAAATCGTAGAACAAAAATTTTTTTTGAAAAAAAAAATTTTGTATAAATCGTAGAATTTAGTTTAAATCGTAGAACAAATTTTTTTTGAGAAAAAAAATTTTTTTTTTTTTTTTTTTTTTTTAAATCATAGAACAATTTTTGAAAAAATATTTTATGTAAAATAAAGTTGTTTAGTAATTGTTAATTAAAAATAATTTGTTTAATAATATTTGTTAATATTTTTAAATTATTCGTAGAATATTATTTGTTAAAAAAAATTTAATTATTCATAGTACATGATTATTTGTTAATATTTTGCAAAAAGTTAAAATTATTCGTGGTCTATTATTTGTTATTAGATCGTATTAGATCGAGTCTTACAATAATATAATTGTTCAATGTACATAGTTTACATTAAATGATTGAACATAATTTTTTTTATATTTTATACATTATTTTTATTATTAGTCGTAGGGAACTAAGTATTGAAATCAAATCGTTAAATACTATCTGTTAATAACTCATAGAGCACAATTGCTTCACAGTGATTGAGTAAGATTTATTTAAAATTAATTGTTCATATTTCTTGTTAAAATATTTATTAAATTATAGAAAAGATTTTTAAAAAAATAGAAAGTTTATATATAATTTTTTCCATCTTTTTTTTTTCATAAAGTCACTATTATAAGATTATTCGTAAAGAATAGTGAGTTTATGACTTTAATTAATTATCCTTTATGTATATATATTTTTTGTTTTGTTATTTATTTAATATGTACTTATTATTATTTTTGTTTATCTAATGTTAAATTGAGAATAAATTGTTTTCTTCCCAAACTATATCTTGTAGTATTGCCCTTAATTCGATGTAACATTGTTTACAAAATAATGATCTTCTTACTACTTTGTATAATACTTCTTTGCATCTAAAGCAATCTAGGCTTATATTTGCACATGCTATTAAATGATCGTCTTGTCTCATCTCTAATTCATTGTCGAATAGCGGATAACAATCTTCGCAATATATTAACCCTTGTTGTTTGATAAATGTGTTTTTGGTTGTGATTTTTCTACAACATATATGTCGTATTAGTTCGTTATATAGTCTGTCTTGAAAAGCTGATCTAATAGGAGCTAATGTTTCGCTTTCATTAAAAGTTTGGTTTTCTGGAACCATTTTTTTATAATCAATGCTTTTCGAAGAATAGTTTAAAAGGAGAAAAAAAAATATATTTATATTGTTTAAATATTGTATTTGAAAGTTTTGGAAATTCTGGTATATAATTAATTATTAAAGATTTTGTTAGGTTATTTGGAAAGTTAAAAGAATTTAATAAAAGTGTCTTTTCTTCTAATTTATTACTTTGAATATTTAATTGTCTTTTATATGTTATTTTATATATGAGGGATTTATTTCTAAGAATCTTCTTCTAGTAAGATATAAAGAATAAATTGACATAATAAATGGATTTGTTTTTACTAAAGGAATTTACTAAATCCATGTATTATGTTTTTCTTTATAAAATCGTTTTATCAACTTCAAAATTTATTTAATAATTGAGTCTCTTGCTACTTGTAGATAAGAACATCAATAAATTAAAAACATTTATTCTTGTTATTAATTTTTAGTTTTGCAGCATTATTTTTTTAGAAATTTTGTAATTATTTTTATTTATTTATTTATTTCTTTCTTTACTTTGTTTTACTGTAGAAATTGTAAATTTAAAAAATTTTAGTTTGATAAAAATTTTAATCTTTTATTTATAATATATCCGTGGAAATCTGGAGGAAGGTATTTTTCATACAGAAAATGACTTTGTAAATAATTTTTAAAGAATATTAAATCCCATAATCATTTGTAAATATGAATTAGTTTTAAATATGAGTTTGTATTTCATGTGTATCTCAGAAAAGATAAATTTATCGGTAATTATCATTTTCAAAATACATTCCTCCCAGGTGAGGAAAATGGGTATTGCTAAATAAGGATTGGTGAAAAATAGAAAAAATATATGATTAGTACTCCTGTTGAAAATATATGTTCTGCTTCTCAGATCTGAAACGAGAAAAAATTATATTAGATAATTGTTTTATATTTGTTAAGTTAAGAATTAATTTTTGATTTCTTTAATCTATTAATATGAACTATTAATGGTTTTCCCTTAAAGTTAATTTTTACATTACCTTTTCTTAATATTTCTAAAATTTCATACGGACCTGAGTATTGGTTTTCTAGTTTTTTAATTTTTCCTCCGTTTAATAAAAATACAAAGTCGCCATTTTTTATTTCTAGGGGATTAATTTTTCTATCATGATAAAATTTCGATTTTTCCTTTGCCGAAATTAAATTTTCCCTTGCTTGTGCTCTCATTTCGTGTAATTGTGTAACAAAGGTAGTTAAATATTCATCGTATGTTTGTAATTTTTCGTTTTGAGAAGGAGATTCGCTAGAGGGTTCACGAGCTAATTTTCCAAAGATAAGTTCGTATGGTGTGCATTTTGTTCCTTCGTGTATGCTAGTATTGTAAGAAAACATTGCTAATTCTAACCAATCGTCCCATTCAGAATTTTTCTCAATAAATTGTTTTAAGTATTCTGCTAAAACATGATGCGAACGTTCGAGTGACCCATTAGATTAAGGGTGAAAAGCTGTTGTACGAAATTGTTTAATTCTAAAACGTTTTGCTAATCTTTTTAATAAATTGCTCAAAAAGTCTCTTCCCTGGTCTGTTAGTACGCCTTTAGGTGAACCGAATATGCAAATGAATTTTTTCACGAATGCGTCTGCTATTGTAGCAGCTTGATGATTAGGTAAAGGGATTGCTAAAGAGTATTTTGTGAAGTTATCTTGAATTGTTAAAATGTACGTGTTGCCAGATTTAGTTGGAGGGTTAAAAGGTCCTACAATATCCATAGAAATTTTTTCAAAAGCAGTTGTAGGTGTGTCTGTGATAATCATTGGATTTTTAGTTTTCACGCGAACTAATTTCTTTAATTGACATTGTAAACATCCGTTTATGTATTTTTGAATATCTAATTTTAAATTTTCCCAATAGTATTTTTGACGAATTCTAGCTAAAGTTTTTGTTACTCCCTTATGGCCTCCGATTGCCGATGAATGATTTTCTTCTAATATCTGTTGTCTAATTTCTTTGTTAGGGTATTGCGTAATCCCATTACAAATTATAAATTTTGTTTTAGATTTTGAAAAAATATCTTGAATTAAAATTTTAATATCTTCCCAAGGAATGTGATTAATTTGAGATGTTTTTGCTATACTAATACTGCGAATGTTTAGTTTATCACTAATTGAAAGTAAAGAGTTAAAACATGATTTGATTGTATTTAGAGTATCAGTTAAGTTTTCTTTGACATTTTCTTGAATTGGAAGTGCAAAATGATAATATTTTCCCTTTTTAAATTCTTTTACTAAACCCTTTTGTAAATTATTAAATTTGGGTAGAATTGATTTTTTTGTTAAACTTTTAGATCCATTGTCGAGAGGGGTACCGTTAGTACTTACAAAATATAAATAATTGTCTTTTCGCATTGTTAATTGGTCACGACATTCTATCAAAATTTTATCACTCGTAGATTGTTTTTCTTGAATAGGAGGTGCTTGAGTAATTTCTTCTTTTCTTCTTAGATTACGCCCTTTGTCTTCGTTATTTTCTTCAATTTCACTTTCTTGTATTTTATCTTCTTCTTCTTCTTCAAAAATTTCTTCGTTATCCATGGCGTCTTCAAAGATTTCATTTTCTTCTTCATAAAATTCTTCATCGAGGGATTCTTCGAATATGTCGTCATCTTCTTCTGAACTATCATCTTCTGTGGATGAAAAGTAATTTTCATTGTCT